ATTTATTCGTAAGGAATTTGGCATGAATTCCATTGCTGCCAAAGCTTATTTATCAAGTACTAAATCCATAGTTATCTGGCGCTAACTCCATAGTCACCCAAGTTCACTTAACAAGTGCTAACTCCATAGTCGCCAAGGCTTACTCAACAAGCGCTAAGTCCATAGTCGCCAAAGTTTACTCAACGTGCGCTAACTCCATAGTCGCCAAGGTTCATCAAATAGGCACGAAGTCACATCGTCGCCAAGGTTTATACAATAGGTGCTAACTCCATAGTCACCAACTATTCCATCTACCTATGTTCTACCCAACAATTTTGTAGATATAAATACTTACACAGTTTAAATCATTTAACACTTGTATAAAACTCCAATTTCCATGCCCATCTCAAATAGACAAATAACATATAAACACATAGCACGTATTTCATAGCAAATACGTCATATTTATGTGTTAGAAGAAAGTAACTACACACTCACACATATAAACAACAATAAACTTAATACACTCAAACCATACTTATATTATTATCGTGTTTATGAAAGGTAGTATACACTCACTTGATTAGAAGATGATCGGACAGCGCTACGACTTGAAGAAGTAGTATTCTTCGGTAGATATGGAAGATCTCCACAAAAATCGAACTTCTCGCGAGCAGAGCTTCGGCTTGGGAACCGCACTTCTCGGGATCTTCGGGATCTCGGGACTTGCTTCGGGGCTCAAGAATAATACCGGGGCTTCGGGGTATTTCTGGCACGCAAATCGATGTAAAACGGGAGAGAGAAGAGAGAAAATGAACAAAAGAACCGGCTGCCCTCGCATCCTATTTATAGGAGGCTGGAGCCTCGGAGTACGCGGGGCGTACGCGTCCGAATTCGTCACTGCATGCGTCATCCGAAGAACTCAAGTGCGAAGGTCGTCATGCTTCGCTATACGCGGGGCGTACTTCGGATGAATCCGATGACTCGCCTTCGGATAATACTGGGATTTAATAATTAAATTTAATTATTAATTAATTAATAAACTTCGAAAATTCATATCTTCTTCATACGAACTTCATTTTCGACGTTCTTTATATCCACGCGTAGGTGAGACTACGCTCTTCGACTTTCGTTTAGACTCCGTCGGCTAATTTTGACTTTTATTTTTATTATTTATTTTTAATAGGTCGGGACAAAAAATTTCGTTATAAATTCATAACTTCTTCGTCCGACGTCCGTTCTTGCCTAACTTTTCGTCGTTTCGCTACTAACAACGAGATCTTCGATTCTCGTTTAGATCGCTAAGGCTAAATATCACTCTAACATAAATTCACTTTTTACGTCATTCAGCGTTGTGCTGGTTCTGTCGCGAAACTTTAACAAGTCATAACTTCTTCGTTATAACTCGGATTTTGGCGCTCTTTATATACACGGAAACCTTGTAACATATAGTACAACTTAGTTAGGATTATTCATCCTAAATAATCTTCTATCAAAAAGTCATTTTTGACGCTTATTGTCTCTAAATTGACTAGCCCTGATCTACGGGCGTTACATGTTAGGATCTTAAACCGATGGTTGCTCATGCTTTGCAAGTGGTTATCATGGGAAGATCCGAGGTTTTCAGCTGTATTTCTGGTTCCTCGTTGGGTTTGTTTGATCCGTACCTGATGGACCATTATGTGGGTGATATTCGTCTCATGGTCATGTATGGCGGTGGTTCAAGTTCTAAGTAGGGGAGAATTGGTGCCTTTGACCCACACGTACAGTGAGGAAAACTGACCTCTCGGTCTGAATGCAAGCTGGATAAATCTCTACTCCGAAAAACGTCTCAATGATCACCTAACCAAAATTTAGGACCTAATCTTAATTAATAGCTCAAAATACCCCTAGGTCAAACTTAATCAAAACTCTAGTCAAAGGTTTGAGTTAACTCAATCAACTCTACTGAGTATGCAGTATGTACTTAGCTTCTACATTGTATGTACACGAGCCTTAACCAGGATCTAGCTGTTGACCTTGTATGCACGACGTAGAATGAGGCACAACATACTCACTGAGGCCCCTTTTTCCATAATAAGAGCTTAACATGGTAAGCTCTTACATTCCATTTATAGGTCAAAGGCCAAATTATCACTGAGAGTCATAAAGCTTCCAACTTTTATGACTTTGCATGCCCATTAAGTGCTTAATACCAACAATCCTAACTTCTTAATACCTAAATACATTCTAAAGCATGCATGGGGAAGAACTAAGCATCAAGATCTCATTTTTGTGACTTAAGACCCCTCACTGGGTCTGAAAGGACAACTTATTTGGTTAAGAGCATGACATGCTCAAGAATCACCATGGTTGGGACCAAAAATGCCCTAGATGAAGGAATAACTAGATCTATAAGAAAAGATGATCAAGCTAGGAGCTTTTTACCTCCTGAAGGTTGCTAACAAGGTGATAATCCCAAATCCAAACTTCTTCCAAGCTCCAAAGTCCTTCCACTTCCTTCTTATTCTTCTTTAAAAATACCACCAAAACACACAAATGAGCTCAATGTGCACTCTCCACGATTAGGGTTAGCTAGAAGGATAGTTTTTTAGGTAGAGGTTGAGGAGGGTGAAGGTCTTAGGGCCCTCAAGGGATTATATATGGTGCAAACCCTCAAAATTAGGTTTTTGGTCTGAACAACATACGCGTTGTGTACATGCTGAGTACCGCTGCCGTATGCGTGCAAACCTGTGTTCCTCATGCATGAGTAAGCCATGCATACACCCCGAGTATGCACAACGTACGTACCAGAATGACAAGACTTAAAAAGTTTAGGGTTAGAAATGAACCTTCTCGGAACGGGTGTTACACTTCGGCTAAAAATTAACCAATTTCAATTTCGGTTTCTGAGTCGTATACTGCTACACTGAAACTTCGAAAAATCATTACTTCCTCTCACAACGTTAGATTTGGACGTTCTTTATATATACGCTCTCGGTTTAACAACTACTACAACTTTCGTTTGGATCACTAAGGCTAAAAAGTAATTTATCAAAAATTCACTTGTTACGATACACAGAGTCGTGCCGGTTTAATTGCGAAACGTTGAAAAAACACAACTTATTCATTCGACGTCGGATTTTAGCGTTCTTTATATGTACAAAATCATTGTCAAATATACTATAATTTTTTTAAGATTATTTGTCCTAAATAATCATTTATCGAAAAGTTATTTTTAGTGCTTATTATCTCTAAATTAACTAGCCCGAATTTGAAGGCGTTATATTCGTTTTGACAATAGTTGATCATATGAAAAAATGGACCTAAACATTTTGCCGCAAAAGAAACAAATTTAGAACAAGTTAGTTAATTTTGTTCAACCATATTTGAGTAGGGGAATAGGGTAAAATAAAGTCGTATCATACATCTCCGAACCAAATTTACAGAACACATAAATGAAAAACTAAAGAGAATTCTACGAGGAAGCAGTCAGATGAGTAAGAGGAAATGGGTAATTAAAATCCTTCTCTCAAGCTTACTTTTGGGTAATTGGGTTTAAAATTCATTGTTCCACTAAAAAATTGACATATTTATCCCAACAGCCTTTCAATACCCTAAAACAGCTGCTCGATTTGGGTGAACTTCATTTAAGTATTTTTTATCATGAAGTGTGAAGAAATACAATTTGTTTTCTTAGAATTCCTTTATCCGTGTTTCCACCCCACTGATGAAGAATTAACCCAATTGCATCCCTTGTCCTTGGGCTAACCCGCTAATGAGAGTTGAAAAGGATTTTTCACGGTTGCATAACCACTTACGCCAACAGATGTGGGGATAGCGATGGTTAATTCCAACAACAGTAGTGAAATCCAAATCAGGTGGAGGGAGATTAGAGAAATCGTGAGCATGAGATGGTGGAGAATATCTCATGGAGAAGGAAGCAACAATATCACAATACTAACTTGTTCCCTAATCTCATAATAATGCCCTAATCTTATATGGCAGCCACATAATTTAATGAAAAGCCATATAAGCTCTAACACGTCATACTCTTTTTTATAGCCTGAAATAAAAATCGTCTATAATGGATTAAGTGACGAAATAAACAGATAAATCTTTGACTTTATGCCTCCATAATGCAAAAATAATATATATATATATATATGAGAGACCTTTTAGAACAAAAACCTATATATTGTTGGATTATAGTAATATTAACTACTTTTAAGATAAAAAACAATTTTGGGTTATACATTTTTGGGTTAATAATCTAGAAATGTAATGAACTTTGGTCTTTGTCTACATTTAGGTAATCATGTTTTTTCGTATACATTTGACCATTGAACTTGTTTGACATGTTTAAAATAGGGTAATATGACTGGTAATTAGTAGTAATATTACCCGATTATGAACAGGTCAAACAAGTTTACTGATCAAATGTGTATGAAAAAAATATGATTACCTAAATATGAATAAAAACCAAAGTTCCTTATCCGAGATTTGGGTTCTCAATACATGCACCCTTCCCACCAAATTTGTTCTTAGTCCAAGAGAAACCATCGCCTCATAACTTGATTGTTGGAGCTTGATCCCAAGACATACCCGGAGACGGTTCTAACAATTTTGTTGTATGATGACACTTAAGAATCAAGTCAGGAACCCACTAACAAAACCTACTTTAGACCTGACACAAAGACCTCATGGCCCAATTTCATGTCACGTCATATGGATATTATGATTACTTACACTTAGCATAAAGAACCCAATATAACCAAAAAGGGTAAGGAATTTTGGTTTTTGTTTATATTTAGGTAACTATGTTTTTTTTTCGTACACATTTGACTAACAAACTTGTTTGACTAGTTTAGAATATGATAATATTATCATAATTACCGGTCATATTTTCCTATTTTGAACATGTTAAATAAGTTTAATGGTCAAATGCATATGAAAAAAATTTAATTATTTAAATATGGATAAAGACCAAAGTTCGTTACCTTTCTAATTGTCAACCCACATTTTTCCAGGTTATTTGTATAATTTCCCATGGTAAAATTCTTTAGGCTTTGATATAACATAGATAAACCCTAAAATCTCAGCTGCTATACCATTTTTTACTTTTCTTTCCCTATTTTAGCTTAAATTTTCTATATGAGATAAAAGGGTGGGTTCTCGAATTGGATAACGGGCGGAGACAGAGATGGCGTCGAGTTCTTCTCTGATAATCTTCTCAACAGTCCCATTTTCTTCTTCTTCCTCAAAATGTATTTCAATCCCCATGTCCTATTACCAAAATAACACTTGCTTTAAACGATTCTATCTCCATAAAAGCTCCTCTAAATATACCATAAACCCTTCACGGCCAACTACACGAAACCGTAAAACCCTAATTGTTAGAGCTGCTGAATACAAATTCCCAGACCCAATACCAGAATTCGCTGAAGCTGTAAGCTTCCCCAACTAAAGTTCTAAGCTTTGATTTCTTTTTTACCATTTGAATAATGCCTTGTATGTGTTTGTTAAAATGTCTCTATGTGACTGTGTGTGCTTTTAGGAGACTGAGAAATTCAGGAGTCATCTCATCGAGAAACTATCAAAGAAAGACGTATTTGAAGATTCTGTAGATGAAGTGGTTGATATCTGTACTGAGGTATTTCCCGTAACCTGCCTTGTATGTGTTTGTTAAAATGTCTCTGTGTGCTTTACTTGTCTTTTTGGTTCTCATTGTTTCCTTTATGAATATATTGTGAATAGATCTTCGGAAAGTTCTTGCATGCTGAATATGGAGGTCCAGGAACTCTAATGGTGGATCCTTTTTGGGAGATGGCTGATACTATAAACGAAAGTGAATTGCCTGGAGGACCTCAAGCTGCTCGTGCTGCAGTTAAATGGGCGCAAAATCACGTTGATAATGACTGGAAAGAATGGAATGGTAATTGAGTTAGATTAGCTGCTCATAGATAACGTAGAATTGAGTCAGATTGATCTTGAAAAGTTTCCAAATTAGCAAACAGAAAATGGTCAAATCCAATGCCAAAGTTCATGGGATGTAAGTCTATTCTGGTCATTGTATTATATCAACGCTGTATTTCACTGAGCATAAGTTTTGCCTAATAGTGTTAATGTTGTTTCATATTCGTATTCATTTGGTTTTGTTTAAGTTTATGATAACCCATCGCAAAAAGTTACCTATTTTCCTAATGTTAGTTATATAACAATTTGACCATTAATTATATAAAAACCAAAATAATCACCCATTTCTAAACTGGCCTTTTTGTAAAATAATTTATAGGTTCTGAAACAACTTTTCTGACAAAAAAAAAAAACACTATTTCGCGACATGCAAATTGCAATTTTTGAAAAAGTTCGACAATCATTTTTGTCAAATTTAACCTACTATTCCATCTTCAATGTCATCACTAACAAATATATCAACCAACCAAATAGTCATATAACAAAATGCTCCATTCTTTGATTTTGGAAACAAGAAAGTTGTTCTCAACTTCCAAGGCATTAACGGAATGAAGCAATCATACGATGAACCGTAAACACATTGATGGATCAACCCAATCGTAGAATCCACTTTCAGTAATAATCACTTTTGAAGTTACAACTAAAGAATCAAACAAACAGCAACATATCAACCATATGCATACAAAGCCATTCAAATGAGACATATTTAAGTTTGATGAAGGATGGAGAATGAAACCCACCTATTGTTCTTCTTGAATGAGCACATGAAAAAAAAAAAAAGACAGTGTGAAAGTGTGAAATGATGTAAATGCCATCAGACTTTCACGTGAGGGGGTCCTAGCAGCTTATGTCACCCAAGTGAAGAGGGATGGAGTGACAATGCTAATTTAGTTTGGATTAGAGACCATCTTTTGCAACAAACGAAAACTTTGGACCAAAAGTGTTACATATTTGATAAATATCCATGACAAAATAGGCAACTTACTCTTTATTATAATAATTTATCACAAGGGGCAAAATTACTTAGCTAAGCCAATTTTTATTTCAATAACTAAATTTCTTAATCAAATAAATCATTAACTACACAAGTATTAGGATATTATAACATCCTATTATTACCTATCCTATGATTAATATTTTGATTTTAAGAATTTTATATAGAATATTTAGAGATATTATCTATTCATCGGACATACATAAATCGTTTGGAGGCAAGACTATTGTATTTGGAGGTGACTTTAAACAAATTCTTTCAGTAATACAAAGAGACAATTTTTCAGAAATTAAACAGAAAAAATATTGTCTATAAAAAATCATTCAGTAATTATAGATATTCAGAAATTTCATTGTTTTTTTTTTCAAACATTTTAATATTACCAAGAATGCTAATTCTGTTTTCGTTACTTTATTTTTATTTATTTTTTGTGCCAACTTTTTATACATTTATATGTTCTCCCGTATTCTTTTTCGTTTTCAGCGGATTGTAGCGATTTTTTTTGTTATGACCATTAACAAAAAGTCAAAGATAATCATTATCAAATGGTGGATTGCATTTGCAAGCATAGACCTGTCTTCCAATTAATAAAATAAAAAATATTATTTACAAGGAGGTTATTTAACGATTATAGATATTAAAATTTTATTTTATTTTTTTAGCTTTTCAATATAACCAGAAACGCAAAGTCTGTTTTTGTTACTTTTATTTATTTATTTATTTTAATTATTCTGTCGATTTTTTAATTACTTTTTATGTATTTTTTTATACGTTTATAATGTAGTTTATCATAATAAAGTTAACAAGGTTAGACCGAATTGGGTCATTCCAACGAGTGGGAATCGAACTGGTCGTCATAGAGCTCGTCTTCCCCGGAACGTAAATACAACATTAAAACACCCTGAAATAATAATAAAGGGGTGCAATTGGGCACAAGATTTCCAGTTTAACCCACTACCCACCCACCCCCACCCACCCACCCACCTAGCGAAACCCTCCCTCCATCGCTCCACCTCTAGCCCTTCTTCGCTCGTCGCCAGAGGGCTCTCTTCCTCCGCCACTCAGTCGTCGGCGACATTGACGAACTAAACGCGAAGTACCTGGTATAAATTTCTATCTAACACTCTTGCTAGTTCAAGTTGATTTTGTGCCAAACTTTCTTCAATTTCGTTATGCTTCAACTTAGTTGAATTTCACATTCTTATCGGAAATCATTTAAGTTCAGGTTTTGATTTTAAACCAAACCTAAATTAATCAAGTCGAAACCCCTGAGAAAAATTAGTTGGTAGAAGAATAATTAGAACGAATCTCAAATTGACAGTGATTAGTTTAGGTATATCATCTATCGAACAAAAAGCTTTAAACTTTGTAACGATTTAGTAAACCAATCATAAAAGGACATAGCATACGTAGTTGGTGATAAGAAGAATTTATTTTCCACAGAAAGGACTTTGAAGAAACTACTTTGTAATGAACTCCTTATTTAATGCGTGTTCCACGGCTTTATTTGCAAGGACGACTAGCACTCTTGTGGCAAGGTGTTTGGAGGTCACCTGGAGAAGAAGAATCAACAATCATTCTGCAATTACAGTTGCAGAAAATGGATTTCTTTTGACAAGATTTCGTGCTAGTTGTTACTCCACTAGTAAAGCCAAAGGTGTTGGTAAATCAAAGACAAAGAACTCGGATTCTAAACCTGTGAAGATGATGGGTGAAGAGAAGAATGCTTTTTTTGTTGTTCGAAAAGGCGATCTTGTTGGTGTTTACAAGAACTTAAGTGATTGTCAGGTTCAAGTTGGATCTTCGGTATGTTCTTTCGTCATTTTCTTAATTTATGAATCTGAAGTTGAAAGTTCACTAATCATATGTGTCTTTGTGGTTATAAACTTATAATAGGTATGTGATCCTCCTGTTAGTGTGTATAAAGGCTACACAATGCCTAAAGAAGCTGAAGATTATATGATTTCTTGTGGGCTTAAGAATGCACTTTATTCCATTAGAGCTGCAGATTTAACAGAAGAGCTATTTGGGAATCTTGTGGCATGTCCTTTTCAGGTAAGATAAATTCTAACTTCATTTGTAATTTCATGACTAATGATTCATGAATCATCTTTTTCTCTACAGCAACCGCATTTTACCTTAGGAGAACCTTCAAGTGATCATTTGTCCAAAAGAAGGTTTCAGGAAGTTTTAGGATCACAAACAGGGGTAAGTTGAAATTCTGTTATGCATTTCTTTAAAAAAAAAAAATTGATTTTGATTTTGATTTTGATTTATAAAATTACTTTCAGGAAGCATTTGGATTGACACCCATGTCAAGTGATTCTGCAAGGAAGCATGCTAAGTTGGAACATCTTGCAACTCAAGCTCTGTCTACTACTGTGAGTGTTGATAGTGATAATACCTAATTTATATTTTATACTATACTTTTTTTTTTTTAAAATATTTAATATTAAATTTAATTGGTTAATGAATTTACAGCGTACTTGTATTCTTGAATTTGATGGTGCGTCAAAAGGAAACCCTGGACAAGCAGGGGCAGGAGCTGTTTTAAGAACCGATGATGGGAATTTGGTATAAAATCTAGAATCAACTTTTTCTTTTTCTTTTTTCTTTTTCTCATGATACTTGAATAAGTGTATTTATTTTTGTAGATTTGTAGATTGCGTGAAGGTTTAGGAATAGCAACAAATAATGTTGCTGAATATCGAGCTATGATTCTAGGGTTAAGATTTGCTCTTAGCAAAGGGTTTACAAGTATACGAGTGATGGGTGATTCCAAACTTGTTTGCATGCAGGTATCTTATCTATTATAATGGCTAATTGTTTACCTATTTGCCCTTTTTTTGTCTGAACTCCTAGAATGACTTAATGGGTTAAACCAAATATTAAGACACTAATTTAGTTATGGAAAACTGTTTTCCTTTTCAGTTTTCAGAAAGTTGAATTAAGTTTACATTTTTAGTTTTCACTAGAAATTTTTTGAAAATGCGTTTAGCTAAAACTGATTGAGTTTTCATTTTCTGTTTAGAAAATTAGAAAACATGTTTGGATGTGTGTTTTCTATTGGTTTTCATTTTCTAGTTTTTGTTATTTCAAATAATACAATATTTAACATTTTTGAACACCCACACCCATCCACCCTCCACACACAACCCCAACCCCACATCCACATCCACCTCACAACTCACCCCCATCCCACCCACCCCACCCACCCCACCTACCCCTACCCACCCACTCACACCCACAACCCCCAACCCCAACCCCAACCCCCATCCACACCCACTTTAAATTTGGTCCACACTTCAAATTTTGTTACAAATATAGTCCAAACTTTTTTTATTTTACAAATCTGCCACAAAATAGTTTTTTTTTTCAAATTTACTTTTTTACGTTTTTTAATTTTTTTTTACACTTTCATACAATTTTCGTTTATTTTTTAACAAAAGTATTTCTAAATGTTGTAGCAGATTAGCAGTTAGAAAAACAAAATTATTTGAACCAAATTTAAAGTGGGTGGGTGGGGGTGGAATGTGTGTGTGTGTTTATATTTTTAAAAACTTTTGGAATTTGAAAACAATAACTATCAATTTTCCAAGTTTTTTGTAATTTTGGAAAATTGAAAATTCTCTTTTCTTGGAAACTTTTTAGAAAAAATATTAAACCAAATGCGTTTTAAAAGTTCTCATTTTTCCTGAAACAAGCCATTTTTCTGTAACTAAACGGGTCTAGTTAGTTACCTATTTGTTTTTTTTTTTTTTTTTTTTTTTTGTCTGAACTCCTCTCACATAAAATTGATTAATATTATTAAAATTAATAAATATTGTGAAATTTGTTTTAGTTTCATTCAGACATACATGTTGCCCATTCAGCCACTTTACCCATACATGACTTAATGGTACAGGTTCAAGGTCTATGGAAGGTGAAAAATCAAAACATTAGCAAGTGGTATGAAGAAGCAAAGAAGCTTAAAGATAAATTTCTATGTTTCCAGATCGATCATGTTTTAAGGGTATGATTGATAACATTTAAATAGATTTTAACCAAAAAAAAAAAAAGTCAACACTTGTTGCACTTTTCATGCATGAAAAGTGAAAATTAATTTCAACTTGTGACAATATATCTATTTGTTGAATATCTAAAATATCAATTAACAACAAACATATTACAGCTTCCTCAACCAAATCAACTAGCTACTATTTACCTTTTTCTTTTAAACTTTTTTTTTTTTTGTAATTTTTTTTCCCCCTTGTCCTAGGACTTGAACTCAGATGCAGATGCTCAAGCAAACCTAGCTGTGGATCTTGCAGATGGTCAGATTCAAGAAGTTGATTCATAGTTGAAGACTACATTTCTTACTACAAATTTATCCATAACCCCAAATGTCATACAAATGATCAAGAATTATTAAAGTCTGTTCATTTTTTTTTTGGAGATTTTAATGATTGTTTTTCTAAGTTAGCTTCTATTTTTGAGATTATGGGGGGTATTTTGGTAATTGGTGCGACTCTCATGATTAGTGCATGGAAAAACATGTGGAGGGTTGTGAAATGTAAGGTTCATAGAGACTGAAATGTATTTGTTAAGATTATAACCTAATATTTTAGCTTGGTATAAGGTAGTATCTATATACCACTAGACATGTTTACTATTTGAATTTAAATTTAAATTTAGGTTTTACTCAATCTTTTTTGCAAAATAATATAGTATGTGTTACTAGTCTAACGATAATGTAGATTTAGAGACAATATTGTGACACGTAACCAATTAGTTTACCATATGAACAATGAAAACCAAAACAAAATATAAAATAACTAGTAATACGAAATATATGTTGATTTTTATAAACTACAAAATAAACATTAAATCCAAGATTTAAATGAATTATATTGGTTCAATAACTTTCAATCTGAATGTGTATGAGGAATTGAGGATGATATTGTTTTGAAAAGAGAATAGCAAAACACAAAAATGGCGGTTTTTCACACTCCCATCATCTCTATTTCTTCCACCGCATTGACGATTTCGCTAGCTCCGACGAAACCCAAAAGCTCAAATTTAGCTTCCCTACACATCTCCAGCTGCTATATCCCGCGTTCTCTGTCGAAACTTCCAAGCTTATTACTTGTTAGAGCAACCCCATTTCAGAAATACGTCTATCCTGACCCAATTCCAGAATTCGCTGTTAATGTACTGTATTTATATATCTGGATACATATTGCAAGCTTAAACACAAGGTAATCTCTAGTTTATTTTTGTGCGAGGTGACAGGAGACGAAGAAGTTCCGGGAAGAGCTCAAGAAGAAACTTTACAAGGAAAGGGATACATTTGGCGATGATCTTGATAAAGTCCTTGACACATGTACAGAGGTAATTATTAATTTCATACACGTTGGTGGATACCTTCGATATTTTAGTTGGTAGAGTTGGCCACATTGTAAAAGTGATGTGGAGTTTTTGATGATGCCTACAAGCTGTTCGATGAAATGTTTAATTAAAAATGCTCCATGTATGCCATATGTAAGCAAGTTCTTGATTCTCATCTACTTTGAGAGGAAATTCTGGCACATTTCACTTGATTCGTTGGTTTCTTGATTATGACATATTATAAAGTTGTTATAAATATCACTTAGCAAACAACAGCTGAACATAAAATAATAAGTTATGAGGTCATCCTGAAGTTAGTTCTTGGATAATGCCATATGTAATCACCAAAAACTCAATTTTCTCTCTTTCGGAATTCTTATTTATTGTTAAATGACTTTTCTAGCCCCCACAACAGAACTTGCAATCAATATGCAACTTTTTTTTCATTATGGTATAAAAAGACAGAACTGCCCCTGATAGAAGTTACTATTGATGAAACCAGTTATTTAGTGAGTTTGTGCACAAGGAGTATGGAGGACCCGGGACATTGGTGGTGGAGCCGTTCACGGACATGTTAATTGAACTAAAGCAAAGGAAGCTGCCAGGGGCAAATTTGGCAGCCCGGGCATCACTATTGTGGGCTCAAAACTACCTTGATCATGACTGGGAAATTTGGAACTCCAAACTAGAATAATTTATTTTTGTTTTTTGTTTTTGTGATTACATTTTGAGAAAAGTACAAGTTTGGTCCCTATGTTTGGAAAAAAATTGGGTATGAGTCGTTAAACTTTAAACTTTGCACATAATGTCCTTTTGGGCATTTTTGAATTTTGGTTGTTGGTTTAGTCCTTCCCCAAACTGTAATTACCATTTATGAGCTTGGTCGGTGGTAACTGACTTGATCAGTTTGATGAACATATAACTGTCTAACTAATTATGACTTTTGCAAACCGTTTTTTTTTTTGTTGGTTATATCTATTTTTTTGTTGGTATATAAGGCTGGAGGGAGTGGTGTCACTGAAACCACACTCCCTCCTATGCCACGTAGACACCATCTCATATTTTTTCTTATTTCATCAATTTGAAACCCCATTGAAAATGGTTAGGAGAGAGAAAATAAAAGAAAAAGAAAGAAAGATGATTGGTTGAGAATGGATAAAAGATGAGAGAGAGAAAGGGGAGTGCACCCCTGGAGGGACACAGTGCGGCCGAGACTGCACCTAGACCGCACCCAGGGGCGGTGTGCATGATGATGTGGCAGGAGGGAGCGCTCCATAGATCGCACCACTCCTTCTGGTCTAATCAATATAAATACTCATTATATACCATTTTTGGACTTCCTAAGATATTGAATAATCCTACACAACTCCATTACAATGCTTTCTTATTTGTGTGTAAATAACTGAAAGTACCTATTGTAGATTATCTTATATTGAATTTCATGCAACTCAGACATTAGATCGAAATATCAATTACGGAAAGTAGATTTTACACAACCATCAATATATATAGCTAGTAACCATTTTAAACATCAAAATTGATCCTATTTTCACCCGATTTTAGCAACTTTAGCTATCATGGATTTGAGGTTGTTACAGTTGATACAAGACTAGTGGTCTACAGGGGTGGTGAATATGACATATCGCCGTCTTAACCGTGTGTGAATATAAACTATAAAATCTGGCATATTCTCTTGATTGTTTCTTAATTGTGAGATAATATAAAGTTGTAACAAACATCATTAATTTAGTAAACAATAGCTGAAATTATATAAGTTTAAAGGCAATCGGTCCCTTAGTGTTGGCTCTTGGATAAATGCCATATGTAAACACCAAATACTCAACTTTCTGCCATAGAGCGACCCCTTATGAGCTGTTTTATTTTGTTTAAATACATTCCTTGAAAAGATGATAGCTTGTCCTTTTCTTTTGTCATCATGATTCGTGTATCACCAGCTTTGGATTTTCATGCCATGAATGGATGAGAATCATGAAATGATATATAAGAAACATTTTGAAGATAAAGTAGGTCCGAAACTGAAAGAGTAATGATTAATTATTAACTCCTTGTTTGTATACTATAAAAATACATTTTAACTGCAAAATACCATTTTTATTCGATATAAATGTATAAATGAGTGAAAAACGACCTTTTGCTCTTCCTCATTTAGTTCGTGTCTACACTTCAATGGAAACATGCTTAATTCATGTCCTTATAGATGCCTTTTATTCATGTTCTCCTCGAGTTAAAAACATATTGGATCAATGATTTATTCTCCGTTAAATTACTTTTCTACCCCTCACAACAAAACTAACAATCAATGCTTTCATGACAGCTTGTATATATGATTATGAACTGTTTTTGTATACACCCTCTTTACTATATATCCTTGTAATTAATATGTGTCCCTGAACCAACAAGCCAATAACTCAACTATTTTCACTATGGTGTAAAAAGACTGAACTACCCTTGATGAAACCAGCTATTTAAGTATGGAGGACCAGGCCGTCCACGTACATGTCAATCAACTCCGGCAAAGGAAGCTGCCAGGGGTAAATTCGGGAAACTTGGAACTCTAAAGTCTAAATTAATCACCATATAACTTGTTTTTGTTATACATTTTCTTCTCATCAGTTGATGAAAGAACACAAAAAGGAGGCAACTTTGAACTCCACACTAATATATATATTCTTCAAAATTAATACATATCTGGGTTAGCGTCGTTGCTAGTATTTTTTTTTTTTTCTCTGAACTATACAGATGCATTATTTGATCTAGTTGATCGAAATAAAAAAAGCCACAGAAGCAATGATCAACTATTAGCTAGCAGCTTCGGAGATACTCTTCAATGAAGGACGCCATGATTTTGACCTCGAAAACGATCCAGACCTTTGTCTGTATCTTCTTCCATGTGTCGCCACCTAAAAAAATTTCAGAAACATTCTGTAAGTTAAGCATAATCGTCATCTTTTGACTTTTTAGGAGCCAAAATTATAATAATGAAAGATGATTCTCAATCTCACCTCGCTTGAGTTCTCCATTTCGGAACTTGTTTCTTCGTTATCCTTTTCCTTTTCCGCCATTGATTCCGGCAGCTCCTTCTTCATCTTCGCTTGTCTTTTCGCTCTCAATACCTTCATAACTTCTGCATAACAAAGGGTCAAAACCATTAGTACTCCGAGAAGATCCAAATTAAGAACAGTTAATGAACAAACCAATAAAAAAACTAACCATGAGAGGTAACGAGGCGATAAGCACGACCTAGAACAAGTGTATCAGTTGGCCGGAGAAGCTTAACTCTGGTGAATTTAACGGTTTTATTCCCGGAGTTATCTAGGGTTTCGGCACCGGGCAAGGGAATTATAAGAGAAACATAATGTCCTGGATTCATCTTCATGATCTCACTAGCAGTTGCAGATGAATACATCCTCTCTATCTTTCCTGATGGGTGTTGTATAACTAAAGCAGCTGCATCTACTGCTTGACAATTCCCCATCTCTAAACTGTTGATCAGGAACCAGAGAGAGAGAGAGAGAAACTGGTTTTGGAGAAGGTGAAGATGAAGCAATGGTTTCTTTCTACAGTCGTCGCCCTTTTATAATCCATTTTTAAATACACATTTTTTATTTATTTATTTTAATATTTAAGTTTGAATCCGTTGCTATTTCACCTGTGTCGAGTGTTATTTAGACTTTAAAAAAAATTGAAGGAATTTATGTATTTGGGATATAACTTTGACTGTAGGAAGTAGGAAAGGTGAAATGGGTCGTTCTCTCTCCAACTAACGTATAAGTGACCTTTATTATTATTAAATTAGTATAAAATGCATATCCCTGTTTTTGATTTTAAATAATATTCTCATATAATAATGACAACATGATTACATTTAATGTTTCTTTAGTTTATATGATTAAATGGATCTTAATGCAATATTAATGATTCTAATTATAATGCTATACATTTTTAGAAGTTATATATTAAAAAACTGACCATTTTTATTTTTTATTCTTGATGTATTATAAAATTCATATGGATCAAGCAAATTCATATGGTTAACGCCACTCATTACGGGTAACTCCAAAGAGCCATTCCGACGTGACAAAAGAATAACGGCGTTATAACGACCAAAACATTGCCCCCAGTCCTTGTTATTTGGCGTTACTTTAATACTTGTTAGCGTGTCAACGGAGCGAAACTCGTATAACGATCACTTTTCGATCGTTGACAACTGTCACGAAGTATTAAAAAAAAATCCATTTTAACTCCCATATATATATATATATATATATATATATATATATATATATATATATATATATATATATATATATATATATATATATATATATATATATATAACTTCAAATTTTTACCTATAAAATTCATCAATTTCTCTCAATTACACATTTCTTTAAACTTCCTTATCTTCTCTATTTTTCTATCTACAAAAAAATGGATTATTTTGATTCGTTTCATCCATACAACGATGATAACGACGACGATGATATATTCGTGAGTATGATGTACCGATATTCTACGGATATGATACCACCAGAGTCAATCCCACTATTGATAAGGCGTGTGACATCAAACAAAGATCATGAAGAAGAATATAGACGTCTAGTACACGATTATTTTGCAGATAATTGTGTCTATCAACCTAATTATTTCAAAAGAGGGTTTTGTTGCGAAAAAATATGTTTTAACGAATAATCAATGCATTTGAAAGCAGGTAATTGTTTTTTAGATGACATAAGTATATTTTTTAGATAACATAAGTACACATTTTTTACAAATTAAATATATGTTTAGGTATGGATTTTTCCAAATGGGATATGATGCGAAAGGTAAACGAAATGTTACAGTGTTGTAAAAATATGCTGCTAAAATATACTGCTGCAATCAAGCTTATGGCTAATGGGGAGTCACTCACCCGATTCAATTAATGACTATATGAGAATGTTGGACCGAACTACACTATAAAAATTGTATAGATTGGTGATATGTGTAATCGAAACCTTCGATAATAAATAGTTGTGCAAACCTTCATTGAATGACAAGCAACAACTATATGTTGTATATAATTTTCAATATTATTTATAAATATTCTTATGTATCTATTGGTTCTAATATTCAACATACTAGTAGAATGCTAGATGCTTACAACATTTTATCTATAATAGCAGAATAATTTTAAAAATAAATACAACAATGAAACCCCTCAAATTATCTTATAAGTCTCGAAATATATAAAATTATTATAAGTAACAACGTAGAAATACTATAAAAAATAAACCAGTATTAATATCACGCTCGATTCCCCAGTATTGCTGCATAATAAATATATGGTATTATGGTTATTAGTGAATATTTGTATTAAATTAAATACATGATGTTTCTGCTTATTATTTAATTTATGAATGAAGACTTATTAGAAACGACATAAACTAGAGAATGGAGCGCCTGCCGGCAAGGGCCGTAGTTGGTGGCGAGATTCCACGTGTCACTGTTCTTTGGACGGACTTAATCGGCGTTGTCGACGGAGTCAAGATTTACCCTTTTGGACCAATATATTTACTAATTTAATTAATAAAAATAAATCTTCATATATACAAACTTATGAATTATGATGCTTTTTTATTACATTCATGACATATAATGAAATGTTTTATTATACGACTTTTTGATAATATAATAAAATGAAAAGCATGCATGTTGATGTTACAATCAATATTTGTTGGCCGGTTTTACTCGAACCGTTAGGGGTCGGTTTGAGCAAGTTGACTAATGAACTGCTGAAGCAATATTTGGCATTTCCTTCATTACTTCTTACATCTGTTTTTTCATGATGAAATGAAACTATGATATTTTAATTTTTATATGTCCGGATTCATATAATTATATTAATTCCCATCATTTTCAAATTTATATTTTTGACATTCTGATGATATTTAAACATTCTTCTTAAAGTATGTATATAATTAAATACCTAGTTGCATATGATAGATATATGGAATAATTATAAGAATCAGATTGTTGAACTATAAGAAATGAAACGAGTTAATCAGTTTAACCATTTTTTATATTTTGGTGAGAAATTGACAAGTAGTGTGTTTTGTACATTTTATGATGAGTACTTATTAAAACTTGGATATAGAATAGAATATATTGGAAATGCAATTAATTAAATAATTAGATTTCTTGAAAGACAATTCTGGCTAAAATATAATTTTAAGAGGTTCCTAGAAAGAGTGAAAGACCATGAGCAATAAAACCCTAAATGACAAACAAACAAGAATCTTAGGAAATTATGGGAAATCTTTGACTCTTGTTGATAGTAAAACCAGATTAACTAAAATCCCTTGATTTATCTGATTTGCGAAGAGTCATTATAAGCCCATGTGAGATGTTGGGGTTTCGCATATTTAATGAATTGCCCAAACATCACCCACCACAAGCACTTTGTTTTAATAATAATACGTTCAAATCAACTACGTCATATGAGAATTCATAAGCTTCCTATTCATATTTTTGTTATAAAATATCGGGTTAATACTCCATCAGTCCCATATTATTGTCTTTTTTTATTTTTGATTTTTTTTATTCTTTATAAATATTTTTATTTTTGTTATATATTATTGATGAAACTAATAACAATGAAAATATTTTAAAACACAACTTGTTCAAATATTTTATATCAACTGTTATATATAAAAAACAAACATATTTAATTTCAAAGTTAAAACAGAAAGATTTTAAAAATTAAAAATAAACAAAAAATATAGGATCCATTATCATTGTACACTAACCAAGTTTTAATAGTAAACAAATTCACATGGATGGCAGTAACGCTTTGTGTGCCACAATAATTTCATTCTTTTGATGTACATTGCTCGTTTTGTTGCTTTTAATACTATCATAATATTAACATATGAAGTCACAATATTAACACATGAAGGGTATTATAACATCAGTATTTCGGGTTAGACTTTTAACCATGTAAGTGAAAATATTAAAAATAATATAAAATATATAAATATATGAAATAAATAAATAGTAGTGAATTTAAAAGCTTCAAGGTTTCTAGAAAGTTAAATTAGGGTTAAAGAGAAAATTTAAATTTCAGGGACTAAACTTGCCAATTCGGAAAATTTAGGTTTAGCCTCACCTTAACTAGAATTGGACAAAAAAAGTTCAGAACTTAATGCGGTATAAGCATTTGGAATTTTTATGACTAGAAGATATTAGACACTATAAAGAGAATTAAGTGGGAAACATAAAGTTTAATGGTGAATGTATGAATAAGTGAAGTTTTAAACACAAACCTACTTCCCTTTTCTTTCTTATTTGGAGAAAATGATTTTGAGAGATCCAGAGAGGATTGATTTGGATATTGAATGAAGAATTGAAAGCATTTTAAGCACCATTGAAGGAATTCCACTTAAACCATAAATTAGGAAATCCATAAGGTATGCTTTCTAGTTATCTTCTTCATTTGGGTAACTTTTAGGGTTTAGTTATCTTCTTCATTTGAGTTACTTAGGGTTTGTGATCTTCATAAATTCTGAAATCTTATAGTAAAATAGATGTTAGATTGAATCTCTGACTTAGATTTCATCAAAAGTTTAATTATGTTAATGAAAATTCGTTTATGTTCGTTTATTTAAGTTCGTTTAATGTTTATATATGTTCAATAATGTTTGATTACATTAATATAATATATGTTTGTTTATGTTCATATATTTTTAATTATGTTTATTTATCCCCGTTTGTTTATATTTGTTCATTTATGTTCATTTAGCATGTTCACGAACATAAACGAACGAATATAAACAATGTAATTTGTTAAACGAACGAACATAAACAAGAAAACTCGTTCGCTTATCTGTTCGTCTTCGTTCATTTATTCGGTTAACTTAAACGAACGAATATAAACAACCATTGTTCGGGTTTGTTCGGTTCATTTACAGCTCTAATCATAGGTGACTACTCTAAGCAACCAAACAACCTCGGATATAAGAACACTAGGGATGAGTCTAATGTTAAAATGTTGTAATTAATCAATTTTCTACTTATATCAGTTAATTAGCAACAAGTCTAAAAATAAATAATTTCATAAAAAATGTTTTAACCAAGTTATGGGTTTCTTTCATTATTTTTTTAAACGGCAAACTAATTAATCTACTCCTAAATAACCACTTATGTCTCCACTGATACTTGAACTCCTAACCTTTCATATGAGATGATCACTCCATACCGTTAGGTTATTAACCTTTGGTTCTTTCATTATTTTTAATATAAAAATTGTTATTGTTTATTTATTATTATATGAAATTAACTACATTGTTTTTTGTTTAATTATTTTTTGATTTTTTTACAACGGATATCGCTCTTTAAGATATTTTATTAATAGTAAGTCAATATTTTGATTTAGTATATAAAGTTGTTATTTCATAGTAGATGACAATGATTTAGATATATTTTTTGATAAAATATATTTCTTATTTATTTTAACTACATATCCAACTTGCAAAGTATATTTTAACAAACATCCATTTTAGTTTTCTTTTCTTCTTTTATTTAATTATCATATATAATTATCTATGTGTTGTACCCTTAGTGGAACAATAATGTTTGGGGACCTTCACTTGTAACCATGGAATGTGCAAACTATTAGTATTATAAGCGAATTGCACTTCACTCCTCAAAGTTTAATGTTTTCATTCTGTAGAACTTTATCCATCCCTTTCGTATATTTAAATTTCATATATTAATAATAAAATTGTGGTCCAGTGTCCTTTATGAGATGCATTTACACCAAGGTCCTTCCTCTTTGGGTTGTGATTACTTTCTCGGAGGAAAACATATTACTTTTGAATTACAAGTAATATTGATGTTTGAATCGAATAAAAAAAGATTGCTGTATTATTTTACAACGCGTTGAGTTTTTAAAAATAATATATTATAGATTACATGCACAAAAGTTTAAACAATTTCTAGACTTCTATTTATCAACAGAAAAACATAGTATCATCCTAATTAAATGATTTAAGGTTAAAGAAATAACCTAATTAGAAGACAAATTAAACTACTTTTGTCTAAGAGTTCTTCCACATGTCGGCTGAAAGAGTTCATCTTGAACTTCCAAACTTGTGCATGTACCAAGCCTCCATAAATTTGCATTTATATTTATAAACAATATCAAACATTTTTTTGTGCTTCCAAAACTCTTTACAAACTATAAAGCCAAATCCGACAATGCAACAAGTGGTTGGATATAGAAGTGTCAACATGGCCTCATTGATGCAGAAATGTAAGAACACCATAAATTTCTTTATTCTTCTCCCAAAAAATTAAATTAGTCTATTTTAGATCTAAATTGAAGTCAAGAGGGATCCAACATGTCCTTCACAAAACTTCAAGGGGGTTAAATGCAACACCTCATTATTATATATAAATATGTTTGGGATGACATATTGTGTCGTTGTGGGGCCAATATTAGTTAGGTTTTGATTGTCATTGCCTATTCTTAAAACATTCTTAAGTTTCATGTAAAAAACCATTCAACCAAACAAGATTGGAATTAGAGGGACATAGTCTTCTAAGTAGGTATCTTGTCCCAATTATTTAATGGATTTTGTCCATTAAATTGTTCTTATACACATTCTTCCCCCCTATATAACAAAATCACCAGTAAAGATTTTATTTTTATGTTTTAGGATAAATAATGATGAATTAGTGCAAGTACAAAGGTACAGCTTGATCTTATTCACACATGTTTATGTTTATGAAGCTAGCATGAAGTTTCTCAAACAAGATACATTGCACATATTGATGCAATAGATATTTTAAAAACTAGGTTTACGAATCTTGATATTTGTACGGGAACAAAAATGTTCATGGCTGGATTTAAACAAAATTAAAAACAAACAAAAAAAAAAGCATAGATTTTTGCATACCCTTATAAGTTTTAGTTGTTGCTTAAGCACAAAAATGAAAATCAAGCAAAACTATTATATGTTTATATTGAGATAAGAAATTGATTGTTATTTTATAGCAATTTGCTTATAATCTCAACGCCAAGTGGTATTTTAGTTTTTATAGATTTTTCATACCCTTATAAGGCTCATCGCCCATTGCCACTTCTCTTCGACTAACACCGGTTGATTCCCGCCACCATAGCAATCAATATTATCATCTCAACGCAAAGTTGCCAAATCCATAAGATGCAATTATTATGGGTCTTATTTACGATTAAAGATCAAGACTTTACCAAAATTCATTGAAGTAGTGATTTTACATTATTGTGATATTTGAAGTAGTAATGAGAAGATAGGGATGTCGAAAGGTATAATTTGAGTAAATGTTAAAATTAACGCACACATAAACAATGTCTTTATTCTGAAATCTCGACTTAAAAGTGTACAAAACTTTACCAAAATTCATTGAAAGTAGATTTTAATTCTTTTAAAACATAAACAACTAAAAATGTGATCACGTTTGTTAAAAAAAAAACAAATTATGTGTCATGGACATTTTGTTTCTATTTAAGGCACTAGGAATTAGAGGAATATGTTCTTATCACTATTTTTAATGAAACCCCCAAGAAGTGGCGAAGAAGGTTATTATGCAACTATATACAACAATTTTTCTCAATACACAACAAATTATATTTTAAAATGTTGTATTGTATAATCATATAAAACATAAATTGTTGTATATGAAGAAAAAATATTGCGTACAAATCACTTTTTTTATTGGATATATCTAGACAAAACGTGGGAGAAGTTAGTTTTGGAGATTGTAATGAGGTATGTGAACTTAAAGTAGAGGTATGGATCTTTCTTTTGTCAATCTTCATTGAATATATTAACAATTTTATTTTGGACATTGACCTTGTTGATATTCCATTTGGTTGAAGATTTTTATAAATACAAATAAAATGGGTAATAAAATAAGTAAAATTGATCATTTTTGCTATCGGGTGGCATAGTGAATCATTTACAAGCATTACAGCTGACGTCACTTCTTTGAAAGTAATTAGATATGTTGTTAAAGATGTGTAGATTTCTCAAGGTGAATCAAAATTTGAAAATATGATTGTTTGTAAAAAAAGTTTAAACTTTTTAAAAATAATGTTAAGTCTTAAGTGGTGAATACAAGATTGAATCAAAAAGTGAAGAAGTGTGGACTTCAAAGTAGAACAAATTATATTAAGAACCTCATAGATAGTAACAATACTTATTTAGCTTAGAAGAGCATATAAAGTTTCTCTAAGAATTGGTGAATCTTGGAGGTTGGAAGTTATGAGTTTAGCTTAAAAGACTAACGTTTAGTGGGTATTAAAGAGGATAAATTTTCCAATATGTTTATGGTTTATTAGAGAGAAAAGAGAAACATTGCAATTAGATATGTATTGATTGATAGAACTTAGATAGATGAACCTTTGTAGAAAACATAAATTGTTCATTTCTTGATCAAAGATTCGATCAATATGATATGGTTCTGCCAAGGCATTCCACTTCTCAGTTCAAGAAAATTTCTTCTATTCAAGTTGATCTTATTGAAGATCCTTTTAGTTTGGATGAAATCCAAATTTATTTGGGATTGCGGTGTGAATAAAGCCCTGCGCTTAAATTGTTTTAACTGTTCTTTCAGAAAATGATATTAGGAAATTATGAAATACCACATCACTATTATTGTGTTTGAAATTCAAAACTCAAGTAGAATCCCTAAAAGTTGTAACCATTTTTGTAGTGTTAATTCCCAAAGTTCAAGACTCATCGGTTATTAAATATTCATGTCCGGAAAATGGAGTAATCTAACCACTTTTCAGTGGTGTTTTTTTAAAAAGACAAAACTTCAAAAAGGTCCCTGTGGTTTTAAAAAATATCAAGTTTAATCTATAAGTTCAAAAAACCTCACAGATGGTCCCTGTGGTTTCAAAAATTTTAACATTTGGTCCTTCCGGCTCACTCCGTCAGCATTTCACCGTTAAGTGAGGGGTATTTTCGTCATTTTAATATCCAGGGACCATTTATGAGGTTTTCTCTTATTATCTTATTTTTTTATTAAAAAAAGAAAAGAAAAAATGAAAGAAATTTAATATCTCTCTCTCTCTCTCTCTCTCTCTCTCTCTTACGAAGCACCATCCACTTATCTTTTCCAACCTGTTATTCTTCTTCATCAGAAGTTCGACCTTCCAAACTCAACGCCCTTAAAACAACAGCTCTCCTAGCAGAAGAAGAAGAAGGATGCCATGTAGTCAAATCAATCTCTACAGCACTATTAGTTGATAGATTATCCAAATGAACAATAGTAGTAACAATCACTCTTTGTGGAGAGCTAGAAGAAACAGGGACAACAGGATTTAGATTTGGATTCGTATTCATCTCTGCATTCTGAGCAGTTGAAATTGAATATCACCACCATTTGGAATATAAGTGTTGTGTTCTTGATTACCTGGTAGAATTTGTGAACATCTGTACTTCTCAGATGAAATAGAGGAAAGAGAAGCAACACTTTCCGATATTAATCTTGAGAATGGGCGTGAACGGTGTCTTCGATTACCCCCTGCTGCTTCAGAAGAATGTAAGAATGATGGGTTTGTTTCAGAAGTAGGGCCTCCTCCTACATTGTTGAGACCTTGAAGAAGAGGGTTTTCCCCAATTGAACCATTTCTAATTCTGATTCTTCTTAGTGCTTCTACTGGAATATGAGAGATTCCCCGAATTACCCTTTGCTTACGTATACTCTCTACTCTGCGTGCTCGAGATCTTGGAGGGATTTTCACCCCAGGTTTGATGGATGGGTAAATGAAGAATAAAGAAAAAGAAGTAATAAAAGAAGAAGCTCTAAACATGTTTTTTATAGGAGAATTTACCAACACAACAAATGCAGATAGAGAAAAACAAAAGGGAAAATGGAGAGAAGAATTACACACACTAGAGTTATAGAAGCATACAGCTCATGTCTCACACACACACATAGACGTAGGACACTTTTATATTAAATATTTATATTTTATTATTATTATTTTATTTTATTTTATTTTATTTTTGTGATTTTTAGTAGTTTAAAGGCAACTATTTGACTATATTTACTTATGCATGTATGCCACATCAAAAAAATCTTACAGATATACACATTTTCACTCGTCCAGAATGAATCCGGAATCCGTAAAACACCTTCGGAATACAAGGAACAGTTCCAGAATATGGATCTAGATTGATATTATCCTGAATCCATTTTCGGAAAAGGATTTCGGTAGAGTAGTCTGGAATTTGATCCGAAAAAGATTCCACGTATAGTGTATTTTGGAATGTCCTCATGAAGATACATACTAAATTCCCCAATTAATGATTCTTTAGATTGTAGCATGACAGAATATATGAAAAAATTGTGACTACAACCTGTAGGCCTGAATTTGGGCGAGAAATCAGGCCCGTTTACAAAACTGACCGGTTTGTGCGTCCATGTTTAGGCTATCATGTTTTGGTGATTATGTGAGCATTTCGATGGGTGTGGAATGTCACCCTTTACTCTGTCAGTATCTTATGTGTAAGGAATATATACTATAAATGTTCCAGTTGACCTACAAGAGCTTTTATTTCTAGTACACTGTTATCGGGTTCACTTTGACAGGAAAGCATTCTGCTTGATTATCGGGTTGCGGTTCGGGGACTATTTCCCCCCAATTATTCGTTTGCATAGTTCATACAACGTATATTTACATCTGTACTGCCTTCACATTGTAACATCCCGGGCTTTCATGTATCTTCAAATCCTCCCTTGATTATTATCTTTGTCATTTTTTTAGTCCTTGGGAATAGAAGGTTGTAGCCATGAGATGCCCTAATGACTATTTTTGTAATTTTGGTCAGGAGGAGTACACTAAGCGTACATAAGGGTATGATGAGCATACTAGGGCGCACCCTAGTACGCTGGGTGTACTCACGTCAAGTGAAAACCCTAATATTTAGGGTATGGGTGGTATATAAGTGTCCTTATAACTCATTCCTCCCAACATTTTTATCCTCCATATCTTTAAGTCGTTTTCCAAACCCTAGCCTTGTGTTTGTGAGTTTGATTGTATGTGAGGGTTCTTTGTGTTGAGAAGAAGAAGAAGAAAAGATTCCTTGAAGAGACTTGGTATGGATTCAAACTTTGGATCTGAGATCTTCATCTCTTAGGGAAGCTCCAGAAGGTAAAAAAAAGCATTTACATTTACTTGTATTTTCCCTTAGATCTTGCATGGAAGTTTTATGTGTGCTTAAGTTCCTTTTCTTGGTCTTGATGAGTTGAGCTACTCTAAGACCAAAGGATCCGTCCTTTCAGAAGGTTTTGGGAGTTTTAGATCATAAAAATGTTATCTTATCCCATTTAGTGGTTGCATACATGTTATAAAGGTCTTAAAAGGTTAAGACAAGCAAGGGTTTTGAGTCTAGGGACTTATTGGGCATGCATAACCATAAAGTTGAAAACTTTATGGTTTGGGACATCTTTTTGGGTGTAGATCTGACTTGGGACGTCTGGACGTGATGTATTAAGGACTTAATGGAGTTTTTCATGGCCACAACGTACGATGGGCGTAGGTGCTCAGCGTCACATTTTCTGGTCTAGGCGGGTATGCTGAGCGTACAACTGAGTATGCCCCGTGTACTCAGCCTATTAGGCTTAGCTATTTTGGGCTTTGGGTATTGGGCCATCTGTTGGTCTTTGATGCTTGAGCTTTATTGGATCATCTGGATAAATGTATTTTTGGGCTAGTTAGAGGACCAAATCTTTGGGTGAGGCTCAATAAGAGGTTTGGTCCTAATTTGGAAAATTGGGCCAATCATGGGCCTTTTGGATCTAAGATTTGGACTTAGGTCTTGGCCCAATTAAGGAAAGGGTGAAGTGGACAATTACCCTATATTTGTGCCCTTAGTCAAGAGTGGTATTCCAATTGTTGATTGAGTGTTTGTTTATTGTGATAGTTCGGGATTTTCGGTGAGTCGGCAGTCGGAGGTTTCAATTAAGTTCTACATTGTGAGGTGAGTCTTCCTCACTATACTTTTGGGTCGAAGGCACTAAGGCCGGTCCATTGGTTTGATAACCTGATATTGCTGATATGTTGAGTATGATATAGTTATGCTAGTCTGGTAGATCTGTAGGACTACCTGTGAATTGCTTGTTTATCTGTTTATGATATTATCTGTTATATGTCAACATATTGTGTGGATGAGTTGAGGTAGTATTGTTTTGTGTTGTAGCCAACAAACCCTAGAGTATGCCAGATTTGAGTTAAGGACCAGGGAGGGCATGCCAGACTCATACTGAGGACTCAAGAGCATTCGAGATACCAACTGAGGGTCGGGCAGGGCATACCAGACTCATACTGAGGGGTTAATGGTATTCGTTATGTTTACTAATCAGGCCGAAGAGCAAGTCAGACATAAGTTGTGGGCCTGTGGGGCAAGCCAGACTTATGTTGTGGGCTTAGTGGTAATCCAATCCATGAAGCTATGGACACATTACATGTTGTTATTATATTTGTGCTATATGTTATGTATTAGTATTTTGGGGGATCTCATGGGTTATGTTTCAAGTACTTCAGAGGATCGCAGGAAGGCGAAGCGTGATCGTGCACCTCCTAATGTTTTGTTTTTACGATTTTGGGATTTCACTAATGTGAAACTTATTTTGAAAAAAAATGTAAACAATGATGATTTGGGGTTTATTTTAAAAGTTTAAAAATTTCAAGAATTTTACGAATGCTACACATATTCAGTAAGAATGGTTAGCCTTATGCACGTATTTAATAACTTACTTCATTAGTTAGGTGATGTAGATGCGGTGAGAGTCTCCCTGTTGTATATGCTAGAGCAGGAATTTTTGGCGAAATACCCTCGACAATTGGTTACTAATGAACTTCTAGAAATATTCTTTAATTTAGACGAGTTTAACATGTATACAGTTATTTACATACATTATATAAAATGATACATATACTTATTAAGTGAAATTGTTGACACAAATACCAATGGGTCTGAGTGATATGGGATTTCACTTACAAACAATTGCGTACTATCTTTGATAAAATCGAGGAGCATTTGCACCCCACTCAACCAAGATTTGACAGTAAACATACATATACCGTGCATGGATTTGTGTATGCATTTAAGGTATGTCACATATTTTTCATAATAGTTTTTAAGCAACAAGCATTGTAAATTTATTATGTTGGTAGTTTTTTTAACATCATAATTTTGTAGATTTGGATCTTGGAGACATTTCCCAATAGTAGTATAGGTGGTTCCTCTATATCGGGTGTTATCCATTGGAAAACAATGATCTAGCCGTTTCTTATCATAAACAATCTTTTCCAATACGTTGATGGCTCTCTTCTATGTCCATCTCAAACACTACTAGGTGCATCCACCGAACAACCCAAAACTCAACAGAATCCAGATTATGCTATCTGGATCTTGAATGATGCACATGTTTTCATGTTGATCATCTCTATAATCTCCGAAGCCTCCTTCCCACATGTTCGAGGCGATACCTCCAGAGATATACAACTCTACCTCGCACATGCGTATGCTCCTCAATCGATCTCTAGGGAATACACCCTCAAGTCACAACTACTCAAGATAGAGATGCAACCAGAAGAATCTATCTCTACCTTTCTTTCCAGAGCCAAAGAATACGTCGAAGCCCTCGCAAACATTGGAGAACCGGTTAAAGAAAAGGACCTTGTTATGTTTGTTGTTTCTAGTCTCCGCGATGAATACAATGACCTTAAGTCTAACCTTCTCGCTCGAGAACATCCCATCGCCTTTGTCGAGCTACAGGGCCTCTTATCTGATCATGACTATATGATTCGGAAATCTGCACCTGCCATCTCTCCTATTCAAGCTTTTAACGCTACCACCAATCGACTACCCTCTACTACATTTGCTCCTCAAGCTGATACAATTCAAGCTCTACAACAACTGGCATCTCAACTTGGCTTACAACTACAACCAGTTAACAACTTGCTCAGGCATTCTACTCATCTCATTCCCATAATTCTCGCAGACGTGGCCTCGGTCGTGGATGAGGCTCGTACAATCAGCAAACAGGGGGAAACAGAAACCAATAGTTCAACTGGGCAACCAATCAGAACACTATTTACGGAACCTGAAATAGGTGTGGCATTGGTCATGTACCCTCCCAATGCCCTAACCGTGAGCCCGCTACCATGAAATGACCACCTCAGCAACCATCTGCGAATTTCGTAGACTTCAGATCTCAACAAATGCATACTTGGGTTCTTGATACCAGGTCAAACATCCATGTCACACAAGACACATCGACCTTCGATCACCATGAACCTTACTACGGTGATGATTTCCTCGACGTTGGCAATGGTAAGGGCTTACCTATCCTTCATGTCGGTTCCACTAGTTTTCACTCACCCTCTAAAACCTTCTATTTCCCAAATATTCTTCATGTTTCAGAAATCAAAAAAAAATCTTCTTTCTGTTCAACGTTTTTGTCAAGATAATCATGTGTTCTTTGAATTTCACTCCTCTTTTTTTGCTGTTAAGGACAAGCTCACACGCACCACCCTCCTCATGGGTCCAAGTAACAACAGACTCTATTCCATGCGTCTCCCACAATTATGCAGTCTTCCGAAAGTCGCTTTTACAGTTGTTCGTGTTTCTCCAGACATTTGGCACCAAAGACTTGGACATCCGCAATCCTGGATTTTAAATACTATGCTCTCTAGATTTATTCTTCCAGTTTGCAATAAAAATTCTGTTTCTTATTGTCATTCTTGTCATATTGGCAAATCGTCCAATTTACATTTGTCTTCCTCAAATTTTAAGAGTAATC